ATTAAAAAAAAAAAAAAAGCCACTAAATTTATTATATGATAATAGATGGTTGGATTAAATAATATTGCAACATAAATATTTTTCTACTTTCAAATATTAAGTGTTCTACTAACAAATACCCCATGTTACGTGCGTGCTGATGTGAATATACTTTAACATGTGTAAAAAAGCGACTTTCACACTTCCAGTGAATAGTTTTCTAAACAGGCCTTCGTTTAGTTGAAGTTGTTCTTTTTTCTCACAATAGAAATATCAAATTCTGAGCAAAACAAATGTCAGTTACCTATGAGGATTATAGAAATAGCCTTCCAGATATATTTCAAGGAAGAGTAAGAAGTAAGATGAAAAACCATCAGCTGGATCATGTCTTTATATATATATATATATATAATATATATATATATATATATATATATATATATATATATATATATATATATATATATATATATATGAGGAATATGGGTATGCTTGGTACCAAGCGTAAATTTTGTGTTTGGTAGTGAGGTGGCACAATCCCCTCCACTCATTCAAATGGGGGACTACATTCACATGGGTTGAGGAGTGCATGGAGATATGCAACAATTTGAATGGGTGGAGGGAATTATGCCACCTCACTACCAATTATAACTTTTTGTGTTTGGTACCAAGCATACCCATTTCTCTCTCTCTCTCTATATATATATATAACAAAACTTGTGTCAACTTAAGTAGATAGCAAAAAGTTATCCATCAAACTTTTTAGCCACTCATATTGCCTAGGGATCCTTACATGTTATGAAAATATTTTTTATATTAATAAATGAGTGGTTAGGAAGTTTGATGGACATCAACTTAAGTTGATAGGAGTTTTACTCTCTCTCTTTATATATATATATATATATAGAGAGAGAGAGATTAATGGGTATCCTTGTCATAGGAGGGGATTTCCTCCTATGACGCCTCTAAAATCACATGATTGAGCGATATTATGGATGATCCGCTCCGTTGAACTTGATCTACATATTCTAAAACCCCAACACACCAAGTTTGGGGTGAACCCGTCGTCGTTTGACCCTTCATCCACTCGCATCAATTTTAACGGTTTTGAATGAATAGAACTTTTTACATGGCTCGATGGAGGGTCAAACGACGACGGATTCACCCCAAACTTGGTGTGTTGGGGTTTTAGAATATGTAGATCAAGTTCAACGGAGCGGATCATCCACAATGTCGCTCAATCATGTGATTTTAGAGGCGTCATAGGAGGAAATCCCCTCCTATGACAAGGATACCCATTAATCTCTCTCTCTCTCTATATATATATGATACTTCTCTTTTATTTTGATTTATGAAAAATTATTTACAGAATAATAAACATTAAAACATAACACTAGTGGATTCAATACCTATCAAACAAAAAGGGTGTTTAAGTAAAATGACCTACCGGGTCGGATATACCTTAGACTCTAACCGATAACAGACGGTTCTCTTCTCCTCGTAACTCTTTCATCTCCTACAATGGTGCGCTACCAACAAAAGTTCCCTTCCCTTTTTGAAATATATACAATTTTCTCAATCAATCACTTGCACTTTCACAATAATGCTTTGATCTTGACCACAATTTATTTATTTTATCACTTTTGTAACTTCACCTTTACGAGGTCCTCACTTAACTTATAAACGTTGCCTTGTTATGGTCTATGTTACTTAGGTACTTCAATTTGAATCCGTAACCGTACCCGTACTTATAAACGTTGCCTTGTTTAGTTATATCCGCTTTACTATTCTGATAGGATAATGATGAAGTTTGTTTGTTGAAGTAAAATTCTTTAAGAGTATATTTTAATTAGATGAAACCATTACTTCTGTCTCTATTTTCTGTTTAGGTAACTATATACTTTTAATGTTGATTGTGATGGTAACACGAGGTTGTAACTGTATTTTAGCCTTTGAAATTGTGGTATGGATTGAAGATTAATGTCAGAGTAAACCTCTAGTATCATTGGTGTTTATTAGTTATTTATAAAACAGTTGTTCAATTGGTCTATGTTGTCACACATAGCTGGTATTTCGCTGTTCTCTCTTGAGCATTCTTGTAATATTAGGTACAATCATGTTACATGGCTGTATGGACTTCGGGTGCAGAGGATTAAATAAACGTCAACCTCTGTGCAATCCACGTGAAACTTAATTTCTGCTCGGAAATTAATGCAAAAAAAATTCCACTGTTTACCTTGAAAACTCCCCTAGATTCCATGTTGAACACTGTCTACTCTTGGAAAAGTTATAAAGTCATAATTCTCTAAAGAGAAGGGTGAATTTTACATGACTGAGTGAGCTGTAATGTTCTCTATTTTTTGTGTAGCCGTTACTTATTTTTATTTTTTTATCTTTCAATTCTGTATAGGATCTTGATTTTTATTGCATGTGGGATTACTGCTAAAGTGACGTATCACCTTACCGATTTTGGACTGCAACACCTTGACTTTGCTTCTACAGTGTAGTGTATAGTGATATGATGTATTCCTTGTTTGTTTCCTTTCCAATTGTTTCAGATCCTTTACTTTCATTAACTCTTCTGTTGCCCAAGCAGCTCCATGGATATCAGTATCAGATGGGACTTCTCCTGATTGAGAAGAAGGAGTGGTCTTCCAGACATGAAGAAATTATGCTTCGTCTCTCGGAAGCAGAGGAGATATTGAAACGAGAACAAGCAGCACACATTATTGCTATATCAGAGTCAGAGAAAAGGGAGGAGAATCTGCGGAAGGCCTTGGGGATTGAGAAACAGTGTGTTACAGATGTATGTTTATTAAATTATTCTCGTATGTCATATTATATTTATATGCACGCACTTACTCATGCAATAAAAGTTTTTCACTCGGTCAAGCCTAAGTTAAATGCAACCTACTAGTTGGCTTTCTCCATCTATCTTTTCTTTGCAGAGGTAGGATGGGCTGTTAGGCTTTTACAGTCGCTATGTTTTTGTGGAATGCTCTAAATTTTACCATAGGATCTAAAATATATATCTTGCATCATGTAGCTCTACTTCGTTAAGCTGTTTATTAAGTAATGCTTTAGGATGCAAGCTAAATTGTGGATCATAGTTTATGATGATGATCAGCATTATTTTCAAAACTGGAATTCTATAGCCGTTCAAAGTTTATATTCTTAGTTCAATCTCTGTGCAATTTTGATTGAAGGCCTATGTATACGTGTCACACTTGTTAACCTTGCTGGATTCATGCTCTGGTAACTTGTTTCTTGGCTTTGTTTGGTCGCATGGGAGTTTTGATGATTATGATTAGGCTTGTATTATACAAAGTGTTTGTAAGTTTCAATTGCCATTTCTGGGATGAAGATGACAGATTTATAGGCTACCACAGGTAATGTATATGTGATTTTGCATCTGCATTGACAGTACAGATATATAGATCCGACCTCTGTCTATGGTTATTGGCTTCCTTTGCAGTGATGATGCTTATTATTATTTTTCTTTCATTCAGTAACATCATTTCGTTGCAAAACTGATATACAGCTCGAGAAGGCACTACGGGAGATGCGTGCTGAAATTGCAGAAGTTAAGTTTACTTCTGATAAAAAAATGGCAGAAGCGCATGCTCTTGAAACGAGTATTGACGAGAAGCATTTGGAGGTTGAAAGGAAATTGCACTCTGCTGATGCTAAGCTTGCGGAAGCAAGTAGGAAGAGCTCTGAGATAGATAGAAAATTAGAGGACGTGGAGGCCCATGAACGCAAAGTTCAACGGGAACTATCTGCTTTGAGCACTCAGTACGTCTCTTCTTACCCTCGGCTGTGTTTTAGTTTTTCTTCCTCCAATACTGGTAGCTTTCGTACCTATGTTCATCCTCGTTGGTGTTTATAATTTGTCTTGTGACAGACGGAAGAACTTTGAGAAGGATATTGCTGATCGAGAAAACCATCTGCGGGATTGGGAAAGAAAACTCCAGGATGGTCAGAAGAGACTTGTCGAGGGGCAAAGGTTTCTCAATGAGAGAGAGGACAGAGTAAATGATGTAGATAGGGTTCTTAATAAGAAGGAAGAGGAACTTGAAGAAGCAAGGAAAATGATCGACGTCACTATAAATTCTCTGAAAGATAAGGAGGAATCTATTGATATGAGGCTAAGGGCATTAGATTCTAAAGAGAAGGTTGGTTCTTTTCTGATGAGACTTGTTTTAATGTATTGTCAATTGATGATTTTGCTTTGTGCACGCCTTAACTTTGTTTGACTTTGGCATCAGGATGCTACTGGTAAGATGAAGAACCTTGAGAAGAAAGAGAAAGATTTATTGAAAACAGAGGAGAAACTCAATGCTCGTGAACGAGTAAGTATATTTTCTTTGCAGGTTCTTGAGATTAGTTTTACAAGTTCTTTTTTTTAAGTCTTAATCAACATAGGTTATGAGGTCAGGATGAATTTCCTATTTGTAGTGCTATTGAAAAAGAAACTGACTGTTGTAGTCCAAATTTGAAAACTACACTTTGTCCAATTAATCAAGTATGTTATTGTGTGCGCGCCATTCATTCACTTGGAAACTTCATCTGATTACAAATGCATTCTATGTTTAAGAAGTGATAGAGGATTCTTCTTTAGTCCCTTTTTGGAATGGTTGATAATTGGCACTCGGACCATGTATTTGTTAAATCAAACACTGGCTAGCTTCGGTGACCCAGGTCAGGCTATCATTCTTGATCTTTCTGCATACTCTCTGTTAATCAAACATGCCTTTGTGCAATCTATCATGTTTGTTATATGAAACAAGGGTTATGAATAGGTCCACTTGGATTTTACTCGGTCTTTTCCTGCGCATGAACTTACGCTGACATGGCTTAAGCGAGCATTGTGTATGGTGTACCTTGGTAGAATGCTGATGTGGACATGGGTTATACCACTAAGATTTATGTATTGTTGTCATCTATATCACAAAATATCGTGAATATGTGGAGTATTAACTTTTTAGCTTGATAAATGTCTTTTCAATGTTACAATTAGCCTTATGGAGGTCATCTAGCTAAATGATTTACAAATGAATGTCTATTCACGATAAGACTGTAGTTGTATTTTTTGATAAATAAGTACTGAATAAATTCCATAAAGAAGTCAGGTTTCATCTCAATTAAATTCTTTAGGCCTTTCCTTCCAAAATATAGTGGACTAAGTTTTACACATTGTAGAAAATAACGCGTTCCGTAACGCAAAATAGCGCATAGCGTAACGTAGCGCCAGCTTGTCGCTACATAGCACTGGAACAAAATAACGTACGCTATTTTACACAGTGTATGCTTTGTAACGCGTATTCATAGCGCTCCATAGCTTAGGTTAAATTATTCAAGGGTTGAGATTGATTTTTAAAAGAATTTTAATGGTTGTGATTGAGTTTTTTTTTCAAATTAATCGGACTTTGCACTGAAAAACATTAACAAGAGATCAAAGAATTACTAATTATTTTTTTCTAATTAACCAGATTTAGAAGTAATAAAAACTGATACTTTTCTTTCAAAAATAAAAGCTGTAACTTCACTGGATTACCATTAGATGTTTTTAGATTTATGATGTGCTATTACCTATTAGAACTTACTATGATAATGTGTGATGTATATTTTTTTTAACGACTATGCTTCTGGAATGATTGTGGAGGCATACATGGTTGATTTTGTTGTGAAACTGTGATTATATATTGATTTGTGATAGTATTTTTATGATGATATGTTCGAAAACCATGATGATTATTCATATTATTTGATTTTGAATATTATGTATCTATAAAATATTTAAATAATAATAAATTATTTAACCTACCTTAAGAGTTACGCTATTTTGCGTTTTACGTTAACCGGAGGTGAGCGTTACGCTGTTCGTTATCGCTATTTTCAACATTGGTTTTACATGGTCCATGCAAGTCTTATGCTTGCCATGTGCATATCAAGCCATTTTTTCCCCTTTGTGTTGCTTTTGTGCATGTTTTCGCAATTGACATGTTCCTAATATTGAGATTGATTTTTAAAAGAATTTTAATGGTTGTGATTGAGTTTTTTTTTCAAATTAATCGGACTTTGCACTGAAAAACATTAACAAGAGATCAAAGAATTACTAATTATTTTTTTCTAATTAACCAGATTTAGAAGTAATAAAAACTGATACTTTTCTTTCAAAAATAAAAGCTGTAACTTCACTGGATTACCATTAGATGTTTTTAGATTTATGATGTGCTATTACCTATTAGAACTTACTATGATAATGTGTGATGTATATTTTTTTTAACGACTATGCTTCTGGAATGATTGTGGAGGCATACATGGTTGATTTTGTTGTGAAACTGTGATTATATATTGATTTGTGATAGTATTTTTATGATGATATGTTCGAAAACCATGATGATTATTCATATTATTTGATTTTGAATATTATGTATCTATAAAATATTTAAATAATAATAAATTATTTAACCTACCTTAAGAGTTACGCTATTTTGCGTTTTACGTTAACCGGAGGTGAGCGTTACGCTGTTCGTTATCGCTATTTTCAACATTGGTTTTACATGGTCCATGCAAGTCTTATGCTTGCCATGTGCATATCAAGCCATTTTTTCCCCTTTGTGTTGCTTTTGTGCATGTTTTCGCAATTGACATGTTCCTAATATCATGTGTTTTCTCGTACATGTGTTTTCTGGATATAATAACTACTTCATTAAAAAGAAAAAGTCCCATGGTAACTAAACAACCAACAACTATTCAACTGAATCATTCCTTCTCCCTGTTTACCAACCTGGCGATTTAAACGATGGTGAATTTTTGAGAATTTGAATGACAATGAATGCTTCTATTGGCATCTCCTCTAGTTGGAAGTTAAAGATCTATTATTGGTTTTTTTATACTTTTTCATGTGTGTGTACATTTTTTTTAAATTTAAATTCTATATGTTTGTTTTACTACGGTGCGTGTCTGGTACCTGAATGGATTGTCAATTGTAAGATGTATCAGCCCTTTTTATAATACCACTCTGAGAAGTACCATAATTTGGGACTTTCCACTCTTATGTTCATTTTTGTTCCCCACATTTTATTGTGTCATGCACATTTTTTTTGTTCTTCTAAAATACTCCATGAAACATGACTTTTACCTTTACCTCTTTCCAACAGGTGGAGATGCAAAAGCTCCTTGATGAACATAACAGTATATTAGATGCCAAGAAGAAAGAGTTCGAACTGGAGCTAGAGAAAAAGCAGAAATCCTTTGATGAAGAAATAAAAAGCAAACTTCACACAGTTGATAAACAAAACAAGGAAATTAGCCGGAAAGAGGAAAACATTAATAAGAGAGAACAAGCATTAGAGTCTAAAATGGAGAAACTAAAAATTAAGGAGAAAGATCTAGATACCAAGTCAAAAGCTTTGAAGAAGTGGGAGGAATCAGTAAAATCCGACGAGAAGAAGTTGCATGAAGATAGGGAGAAGGTAATAAAACAATTGGAGGAACTTCAGTTGTCCAGAACAGAACTCGATACCTTGAGGGCTGCAGTAAGAGCTGAAGAACAGCAGCTTGTCTGTGAGAAAGAAGGCCTTAGATTGACTAAAGAAGAGAGGGACCAACATCTCCTACTGCAATCTAAACTGAAAGAAGAAATTGAGGAGTATAGCAGGATTAAAGAGTCACTTGTCCAAGAAAGCGAGGCACTGAGAAATGAGAGGGAGAAATTTGAGAGAGAGTGGGAAGCGCTGGATGTGAAGAAATTAGCGCTGGAAACTGAGATAAAGAAGGTCAATGATGAGAGGGAGAGGTTTGAAAAATGGAGACACAATGAGCAGGAAAGATTGAAAAACGAAGATCTTCAGGCAAAAGCAGAAATTGAGAGGCAGTTGGAAGACCTTAGGTTGAAAAAAATAGCTTTCGAGAACACAATGGAACATGAGCGTTTGATGGCTCGTGAAGAAGTTGAAAGGCAGCTGGCTGATGTTGCCCGGGAGCTTGAGCTACGTAAGCATGACCTTGAGATGAATATGCATAAAAAACAGGAAGATGCGGAGAAGAGACTACAGGAAAAGGAAAAGGAATTTGAAATGAAAAGAGAAATTGAAGTTAATAGCATTAATTCCTTAATCAATTTAAATGATTCAAAATTTCGGAAGCTAAAGCTTGAACAAGACCGATTGGAGAGGGAGAAGGAAGAACTCAGTCTCAACAAAAAGAAACTTGAGTCAGGTCAACTCGAAATACAGAAAGACATAGACACGCTTCGCTTGCTTAGCAAAAACCTTAAAGATCAACGTGTGGAATTTGTCAAGGAGAAAGAAAGGTTTCTTGCTGCAGCTGAGCAGTGTAGCACTTGCCACAACTGTGGGGTCTCAATAACTGGATTACAGGTTGTTGGTCTTCAAACTACAGTAGAGGATGTGCTTCTGCCAAGCCTTGCCGATAGCTACTTAGAGGAGCATTTGAAAGGTAAGCAAGCCGATCCATCTCCTCAAGGTACTGCCTCCAGATCTCTTGGGTCAGGATTTCTACAGAAGTGTTCCAGGCTTTTCAGGTTCTCTCCTGGAAAGAATGTAGAGCCCTCTACCGAAGGCCAGATTGAACAGCCTATTGAGTTCAACGAGCGACTTGATATGGTTGCATCTGAGGATGTTACAAATCACGGGGCTGCTAATAATTCTTTTGATGGTCAGCCAGCGGAAATTGGTGATGATGCCAGGGTTAGCAAGGATGCACAAAGGCTAGATAAAGTTGGGGATGAGCCCGAACCATCTCTTGGTGTAGGTGATAATTCTATTGATATTGTGAGGATGTCTGATTATGATGCTAGAGATGCCGAAGGGGAAGTTGCTACCTCAATTGATGGGCAACATGAAACTGAGGGATCATCTCGACCTCCTGAAGATGACTCTCAGCCCCAGCCATCAAAGCAGCGGCGAAGACAGCCAAGCAAGAGAGGCAAGGCTAAAACAGTAAAAAGAACACGCGCTGATATTGCAGTTGTCAAAGATGCCAAAGCTATTCTTGAAGAAACGACTGATTTGAAAGTGGATGGAGAGCCAAAGGGGGATGCAAGAGATTCTCAGCGTATTGATGAAGAAAGCCACGGAGCTTCAGTTCATAATGAGCAAACCAGTGCAAGGCAGAAAAGGCGGCGCCCACAGACATCTGAAATGACTACCAGTGAGCTGGAAGCAGAGGATACTCATTCTCAAAGTGTGTCTGTGGGAGGGCGGCGTAAAAGGCGACAGACGTCAACAACTGGGATGCAGGCCACTGGAGAAAGGCGCTACAATCTTAGGCGTTCTACAGTGTAGGCAATATTCCTCCTTTTGATTGTGCATATGCATTTGTGCCCATAACTTCTGTTTACTTCCCTCTTTTCCCCTCCTCGGGCTTACATATGTAATATATTGATATTGTTGTGCTGTGGTTCACAACATCTCTTCCTCTGTGCTTTTACATTCTTTTGGAGTATTATCAGTATAAAATGTTCTATGTGGTACTTATACAATGTTTTATCCAACTGTTTGCTTCAGTGCTGCAAGCTCAGCTGCAGCAACCCAGGCAACATCTGATCAGGCAAAAGGACACAAAGCCGAAAGTCAGCAGCTTTCACATGATAATGAAATCTCAAAGGGTGATCATGTTGGAGAAGGAACTTCCAAGAATGGGGCTGTGATTTCACCTTCATCTGCTTTTGTTGAAGAAAATAACAAAGTTTCTCACACAATGCAGAAATGCACGACAAGAAGTGTCATGGAAGTGTCATCCAAGGTAATTTCTTTCTTTTTACCTTTTCTGTCTTGCAGTACTCTTCTCATACATAGCATTTAGTTCTTGATATTGGTCCTCTGTTCCTTGCCAACTTCTACCTCCAAATACAAAACTTTGCAGAGGCCTAATCAGCTCTTTACTGGTTTTAAGTTACACAAATTTCCTGATAAAGGAAGTTATTGCAGTTCATTAGTGCCTGAAAACCTTTGAACGCTTGTCTGTGATGATCTTATTATTCACTTATCTGATGTTTTTATATATTGGATTCACATCTTGCATTAAGTTGCTGAGGTTTATCCAGTTATGATGGAATCCTAATAGTAATTTGAGTAGTGATAACTAGACTACTCCCCCCAAACTACTCACACACTACAAAAGAGAAAAGTGTAGGGTCCTTCCGCGACTTTTATCAAAATTGATGACTCATCATATGAAGCCCACACTTCTCTCTCGTAGTGTGGGAGTAGTTTGGGAGAATGTAGTAATTCAATATTTGTTCTGTGTGCCTATCATGTTTCAGCACCCAAAAGCTATGGAAAACAAACATGTTCTCATTTGGAAGGTACCCTGTCTCTGATTCCTCAGAAATCTTGACCTGTTTTTCAGACTATTTTTCATGTCTTACATTGGCTGTGGGCCTTGTGTACTTCCCTAGGTAATGAGGGAAAGCTCTCGGAACCATGTAAAACTGCTTCTGCTGGCTCATTTACAGATACAAAATACTGCATTTAAGTTTTGTTTTATTATTAACTGGCTAAAGGTATAAGTGGACAAATTTGGTTATCTGACCTAACAAGGAATGAGTGATCTTTTGGATATCAGCCAGCTAGTATTATCCCAAATTAATCCATATGCTAAACAATGTGTTGGTTATCTTTTGGTATGAGCCGGTATATGAATTAAACTTTGCATAATTATTTTAAGATTGTCGTTATGATTTGTGGTGACTTTGTATGTGTTACTTATCATTCTTGTTTTATAGAACTCTAGGATTGTCATTTAGGTGTCTTCTGACCTATCACTTTAAAGCAGGAAATGGGAGTTCGTGTGGAGCGTGAGTTTATAGAATCAGTGGACATCAGCGAGAGGATGGAGGAAGACGAGGATGAAGTAGACGGTGCAGCAGCAGTAAGTGAACCAGCGACGCCCTCAGCCACCGAAGACGGTGATGATTTTGATGAAGACGACGACGACGATGTTGGGAAGCATAATGCTTCAATAGGGAAGAAGCTATGGAAGTTCTTCACAACTTGACGTCTGGATTTTGCGGCTTCCTATTAATATTTTTTCTCCCCACTCTGACTCCTTTTAAGTTTCTAACTTCAAAAAGGTTCTTTGTGTAGTCATTATGTGTACTAATTTGTTGGAAGAGGTGGATTTAGGGTTGGATGTATCATTGAGGGATGTATTATTAGTAATTAGTGTTCGCTACTTGTAATTTTTTTTCCATTAGTAACGTAGCTTATGAAAACCTTGTATCAGTATCAGGTGGATCTAGGTTTATTTACAGGCCGCCTCGTGTCATGTGTAGTCTGAAATCTTGTCACGTCGGGTAAAGCTATGGTTATGGATCTAATGATCATTTGTATTGTAATCAGATGAGTAATTGATTTTCTTTTAAGTTTCTGGTGCTCCGTTAAATGTTGTGTTCCGCCTGGCGTCTAGTTCAATTGGTGCTGATGAGTTTACATGAGCAATTTTTGTGTTGGCATAAATTTTTTACTGTTTATCTCAATTAACTGCACGATGATGCGTTTACCTCTGTTGAAATTGGTTTGTTTTGAATATCTAGCTATTTTAGATTTAGTGAACTGTTTTGCCTTTCCTGGTGGTCAGTGGGATGACAATGTTGACTGGAAAATGACGGTAACTGGAATCACCGTATGTGCCATTTCAAGTCAGCAAGAGAGAGGGATTTAGAGCAGTTTGATATTGCCTTTTTTAGGGTGTTTTATGCCTATTTTTTCAAGAAGCAATAAATAGTGGTGTTTACTGAATTTTTTTGGCATGTTTAAATGAAACTGGTTTTGTTTTTAAGAGGGTGCTTTCATAAGTGACCAGAGGATGCTTTTGAAAGTAGCTTTTGTATTTTAGTTTTTTTTAGATACACGTATCCTTCTTGTATCTTTAACTAATAATTATTAAATCTTTAATTAATAATTATTAAATATATCTCTACTGAACACTTTTACTTTTTAAGTAGTTTTTAATATTTGATTACCAAACTATTATTTTTAACAGCTTATACAAGTTTTTTTTATAAGTTGTTTTTATAAGTAACTTATTATAAGCTCTAGCATTACTAGAGTGACATTCACTACTCTCAATTGAAGATGGTGAGCGTATTACTCATTTAGTAGATATCACTTCTAAAGAAATGAGGTACTGCAACTAAATATATTTAAAGTAGGATTCATAATTTAGCATGAGAACTCTGGACGGTTAGAAATTATGTTACATTTAAATTTGTTTCGAGGATACAGATAATATTGAATTTTTATTTTTGTAATTTTCGATAAGCACTGTGATAATAGTGTAAATAGTACGAAAATATTCATTATAAGTTTTATTGATGGTCCATAAAAGTCAGCAATTTTAAAGCATAACAATGAGATTTGTCTTACTTACTGTGCACGTATGCATAAACTTGAGCAAAGAGTATATACTTGTTTGAACTTCCTCTTTCTCTTCTCTATCAAATGGCACAAACCAAAGCCCTCACAATGGATGCTAGAACTGCATATGCACTATGACATTAATATAAAGTAAACTAAAGAAATGATGTAAAATAATCAATAGGCTAAACTAAGGAATCATAGAAAATTCATATATGAACTCATTGCCTTAATTGATTTCAATACTAATATGATTATGATTTTATCTTAGATATTAATATAGAAGGTGACATATGCAGGTAACTAGAGAAAATAGGAAAGGCTTCATGATTCAATAAAACCCATAGTGCAGGTGTATTCTTATTCTTACAATAACTCTTTGTAGCTAATAATGAAGATATATACAAATGAAGGAGAAATGAGAAGCAAACTAGGGTCTCCTAAATTCACACCCATATTATGATCATGAGAGTATTGATTGAACAAACAAAGAGACAGAGAGCAAATATTTATTGTCAGAGGGGCGAGAGAGAGAGAGAGAGGGAGAGGACCACTGTATATGTAGGGCAGCAGCAGCAGCTACACCATGACTAGCTAGGGTGGCAGCGTTTAGGACGTGGCTTTTTTTAGCACCTGGACCGCCCTCTAGAGAGAGAGAGAGGGAGAGGACCACTGTATATGTAGGGCAGCAGCAGCAGCTACACCATGACTAGCTAGGGTGGCAGCGTTTAGGACGTGGCTTTTTTTAGCACCTGGACCGCCCTCTGCCTTTGAAACAAGAGTATTCCCCCCCTCCCCTTACCCACCCACCCCACCCACCCCACCACACACAACCCCTCCTCTCTTCTCTCTCTCTCTCTCTTCTCTCTCTATCATATATATATACATTTTATTATATAGTATATCATATATATATTATATATATATATTGATATTATGATAAAATGGATCCCTAATAATATGGAATGACTAAAAAGTTTGTCGTGAAAACTAGTATTTCACTTAAAGTTGAACAAGTCTTTGCGCTCTATATATACTATTATTTCTGGGCAGTATGCTTCTGGTACCCGAACACAAAAAGTCTTATGTTTTCGGTAGTGAGCTGGCATAATCTCCTCAACTCATTCATACTTGTTATTGCATATCTCATGCACCCCTCAACCCCCGTGAATGTGGCTCACCTTATTTGAATGAGTAGAGGGGATTGTGCCTGATCTTACTATCAAACATACCATTTCATTATAGTATATATATATATATATTATATATATATATATATATATATCATACATTATAATATACTATATATATCATATAATATATATATATTATATTATAGAGAGAGATGAGAGATCAGAGAGAGAGAGATAGAGAAAATTGTCGACGACTTGAGTTACCAGTTGCCTCAAAGCAACTTGGTAGTTGATGTGACCTCAAGATCTTTGTTCCCTACATCTACTTAGAGTTGATGAAGGCGTGATGAAACTCTTCTTCGACGGTGTGATGTAGGGGGCAAGATTAAGCCACATCACACCAAGCGTTCTCCATTTCTTCATACTATTATATATATATATCATATATTATTATATATAATATAGAGAGAGAAGAGATAGAGGCAGAGATGAGAGAGATCTGAGAGGAGAAATCATATGGGTATGTTAGGTACAAGCACATATTTTGTGCTTGGTAGTGATGTGGCAAATCCATTCCACTCATTTAACATGGGGACCACATTTTATAATGGGTTGATGAGTTGTTGTGGATATACACATATTTAAGATGAGTGGAGCGAGTTATCCACCTCTACTTACCAACATAAATTTTTGTCTGGGCTACCAAACTACCCATTTTTTTCATACTTCTTATTATATATATATATAGTATATATTATATATATATAGTAATATATATATTATATATTATTATAATATATTAATGGGTACTCCTTTTATCATAGGATTGGAGGGATTTCCCCTCCTTATCGCTTATGTGGCACATTCATCACTCATCCTTATAAGTAGGCCACAAATCCCCCACCAACTCACCACACTCTCCTACTTTATGATGGATGGTAATCGGATTTTGTGTCACATTAGCGTCTAAGGAGGAATCAACTCCTATTTGACAAGCGATACTCATTAATTCCATATATATATATATACTATATATACACAGATGGAGAGAGAAGGCGGAGATGTATACACAGAGAGGAGAGAGAGAGAGGAAAGAGAGACTTTCCCGACGAGAGAGAGAGATGTTAAATTTGTCTAGCTTGAGCATATGAGCTATGGGATATTTATATATATATATATGTAGATATGATGCTGCTGGGATTATTTTGGTGTCTACCAAAGGAAATCTTAGTGAAGTCTATATATATACTATATATATACTATATCATATAATATATATATATATATATATATACTTATTAGTATAGTATTATATCATTATTATTTTATATATATTATATATATATGAAAAAATTGTTTCAGATGCCCTAAAACCGAACTTCTATTGTCCCCCAACCCCTTACTTTCCATATATGCTGCAGCCTACCTTCAAAAAATTACGTCCAGGCCCCTCCATGTCCAAAAACCTCGGATTTTGCCCTCCCTTCACCTCTTCCTCTCCTCGTTGCGCCGGGTTCCCCCTTTGCCTGTCTCCTCGCGGCCGCCTCCCTTCCCCGCTCCGCTTCCCTCCCCCACCCCCACCTCCTCCCCTCCACATGATGCTCCCTCCCCACTGTCCGCCTCCCTCCCCTTCCCACACGCGCCCCCCCCCCCCCCGCGCGCTTCTGCGCGCAGCGCTAGCCTCCCAACATCGTCGCATCTCCCTCGATTTCGCCTCCCTCCCCCCTACAATCCCCTCCCACTACACTCCTCCCCTCCCCGCATCCCTCCCCCTACACCTCCTCGCCTCCTCCCTCCGCGTGCTCTGCCCCTACTACCTTCCCTTCCTCTTCCTCCGGTCCCTTCTACCCCCTCCCGCTCCGCCGCGGGCCATCACGAAGAACTTCGCGTTTGGGCACATTAGTAAGAGTTAACATGTTAGCTGCCAAGACGTTAACATGTTAGTTATACATATCGTTAACATAGTTAGCAGTAATGGTTACATGTTTTAGTGGCAAGAGGTTAACATGTTCAGTTAATAATAGTTAACATTTGTTTAGCAGTAGAGTTAAACATGTATTAGCTTGCAAGAGTTAACATGTTACCACAAGAGTTAACTCCGCTGACATGGAAAGAGGAGGATTACATTGGTCGATTTAAACTAGCTAACATGCTCTAATTATGAGCTGCACTATCTAACTCAAACTGTGTTGGCATAAGCCTGGAAATCATGATAGGAGGGACCTTGGGCGCATATTTTTCAAAAAAATGGGCTAAAAACACATTAAAAAAATAGTGAGGGGTTGGGGCATATTGAAAGTTTCAAATTTGGCGGCTTTGAAGCAATTTTTTTCCATATATATATATATATATATTATATATATATATATACTTTTATATTATATATGTATACTTATATATAGAGAGAGTAGAGATGAGGAGACGGAGGGGAGATGAGATGAGAGGTGGAGGAGAAACTTATGTCACTTAAGTGGACGAGTCCACTAAGTTTTTAGTGCATTTGATGATCAACTTAATTGAGTACATTGTGGATGATCCGCTTCCGTTTAAACTTGAATCTATATTCTAAAACCCAACACATCAAATTTGGGGTGAACCCGTGCGTGTTTGACCTTCATCCACTCGTATTCAATTTTAACGGTTTCGAATGAAATAGATTTCGTTACATTTGTGCTCCGACAGTAGCGAGTCAACCACGACGGTGTTCACCCCAAATTTGGTCGTGTTCGTGGTTTATAGGAATATGCTAGATCAAGTTCAACGGAGCGGGATCATCCACAATGTCAGTCAATCAAGTGAATCATCAATGACTAAGAAACCTTATGTGGACGTACTTAAGTACATTAAGTTTATATAGTTATATTATATATATATATTTATCTTTATATTAATATATATATAT